CATGAGGCTACCCTTGAACAGTATGCAGAAATTTTAGCTGGCACAGAATGCAGATGCACAGATAATATTAGGAGTCCAAAAATGGTGCATGTTAACACCTTTGCTGCACAAATTGCATTGAGTGTAGTTTGTTCTAAGGTCCACTTCAACATGTTGGTTATGATCATGCCCTACATGGCATGGGGCCAGGTTACCTTTGGTACTGTCTTCATCTCATCACATCGGTCTCTCCTACCCAGTTAGACTGGGGAGGAAATTTGTGGAGTCCATCAGCCAAACAATTCTGACTGGTGGGGTCCAAGAACTGAGCTTTTTGTGCCATTGCCCCTGCCCTGTGGAACATAGGCCCCCTCCCCCTCAAGCGGTGAGATGGGCCCTATTCTCCTGCCTTTCTGGAAAGGCATGAAAATATGGCTGTGCAACCTTTCTTGGGGCTCATAGTGATGCACACAGCCATGGGATTGGTTAGCATCCAGAAATCCCTTTTAATTAACTTTTGACATTCTTCTGTGCCTCTTTTTAAATGTTGTATATTGTTTTTATGTTTTAATACTTTATTTTGTACATCACCCAGAGCTTCTGTTTGAAAATTTGATGGATTTGATAAATAAAAATAAGCCACAACAAAATCCATCAATACATCTGCCTCAACAGTGTAACTGAAGCTCCCCCTTTTATGTAAGTTGCACATAAAAATGGATATACATACCGATATTTATCTTTAGCTATAGCTTTAATTACATCATCAAAGCACCACTTTTTATTAAAATACTTTTGTTATTTAGTCAGGAATGGGCCATAGGAACATGCTTTACACATTGTGCTATAAGCCATGTTTTTTTGAATATATCACAATTTGACTAGAGTCAAACAAATCAAAACTTACAAACCAGAACAGTTTAGACAAACTGTTAACCAAACTAATCAAAATTCAAAATGCCTTTGTGTGATTTGTGAAACAAGCTTAATTTTCATTTTAGGTACAGAAAATATATCCTATTGTACTACATAAAACCATAAGCAGAAACTTGCTTAGGAAAAGAAATAAGTTCTATATAGATAAAGCTAAACAAAGTTTTGCACACACCAAACTTCCCCATATATTGTTGATCGTGCCAGCCGAGAATTCTGAAAACTATCATTCAATATATCTTGACGATACTACATTAGGCAAGACCATCTAACATGTTTTTTGTGTACTTGTTGGTTGGCAGATTGATGCATGAACAGAATCACCCGAGAACATTGCTTTCATTCATGCAGTTCACTGCTGGGTACTGTATTGATATTCATGTCTAACACAAGGAAACAGATTTCCCCATTTCCCCCTTTGTTTTGTGATTCTAATCCCTGGCAGAGTTTGGCCACAGAGTGCTGATGCTTTGCAATTCTTCCCTTTTGGATTTCTGAAGTTCTCATAAATCATTTGCAGATGCAGCTTCCTTCCAATTTCTATTCTCCTTTACTGATTCCCCCGCGTCCCCCTACCGCCTTTCCCCTTCTCTCCGTTCAAGCTACAGATGCTCACACATGCTCATGTGCACGAAGCATAACTCATCAAGTAGATCTAATGCAATGATGCATATCACTGCATCTGGATTCCTTCGGTGTCCTGCACTTCATCAAAGATGCACAAGGGTAACATTGAGTGGAGCAGAAGAGGGAGAGATGTCAAGGAATGGAAGATGGAAGACTCCCGAGCTTGATTTTAGAAATTTTCCATATTCATCCGAAAGAAATATGAGAGGTAGGTGGGGCAAAAGAAACCCATAAAATGCTATCGCAATAGGAAACCTAAAATTCTCCAGTATCCATCCAGAATGACCAGCAGACAAGCCTTAAGATGTTATAATGAATGTATTGCACCTTATGTTTGCAAGGGTTCTTTCACCCGTGCATGGAAAACACTTGTTTCATGAAGAGAGCCATTGTGTTTCACTGACTCACCACCAAATGGTCTTCCATTTCAGAATTTGCTTGTTTCTGGTTATTTGGTTTTAGCTCCTTATTCTCTTCAGGGATATTCTCTTCCCTCTCTTGCTCTGCTTCTTCAAATTCATCTTCTCCCTGGTTGTTGGGATCATCAGCTGGGTTGATATCATCCATGACTGTCTTCTGCATTTACAAGATCAAGTGAAAAAACAACAACTGAACAGCTATATATATTTCACTACAGTACCACCACCGTCACTTAGATTTAACGTATTATGAACTAACTAGCAACTTCTGGATATACCCTAGCAATACCGAAATACATTCTATAATTATATCCTTTAAGCATATGTTTAATGTAGAAATTTCTATTCTGCTTTTTCTTCCATTAGAAGAAAAATACAACATGTCAGCAGCATAAAGGCACAGATGAAAGCAGTATGAAATATGTTGATAAATTCTTTAAAAAAAAAAGTAAAGCAAGCAGAACAGAAAGTAAATTCAGGTACAAATTCCTTTTTAGAAATAAGGTATGTTATCCATCTTATTCTCTGGATTGCTTTAAGTGCTTTAAACATTAAAATAGGGGCGCCCTCCAAATATTTTGGATAAAATTGATGTTTAGAGATAGTGAGCAATATAGTCCACATTCTACTCAGGAATCCTGTGCATGACCACAAGCAACATTTAGAATGATGGATGGTATAGTATAGTATGGCAGCCACAAACCTCTCACCCAGGTGGTATGTTGTGGTATGCATATACAGTAGCTAACTTTTTTTTTTTTAAAAAAAACAAAACAGGGGTGAAATTCAGCCGGTTCTGACAGTTTCTGGAGAACCAGTAGTGGAAATTTTGAGTAGTCCAGAGAACTGGCAAATACCACCTCTGGCTGGCCCCAGAGTGGGGTGGGAATGGAGATTTTGCAGTAATTTTCCCCTGAGTGGGGAGGGAATGAGGATTTTTCAATATCTTTCCCCCAGGAGTGGGGAGGGAATGGGGATTTTGCAGTAATTCCCCCCCAGAAGGGGGAGGGAATGGGGATTTTGCAATATCCTTCCCCCAGGAGTGGGGAGGGAATGGGAATTTTGCAGTAATTCCCCCCCAGAATGGGGAGGGAATGGGGATTTTGCAATATCCTTCCCCCAGGAGTGGGGAGGGAATGGGAATTTTGCAGTAATTCCCCCCCAGAATGGGGAGGGAATGGGGATTTTGCAATATCCTTCCCCCAGGAGTGGGGAGGGAATGGGAATTTTGCAGTAATTCCCCCCC